TTCTAAAACAATGAGTCGGAAAAATGGCCATTTTTGGATCAAACAATGGGCTAACTCCTTAGGAAAAATGTCAATTATTCGACTATTTGAACATCTTGTTTTTATAGCGTGGAAAGGCCTTTTTTTTTTTCTAGAATATCGTAAAAAACATTTTCGTGGCCTAATTGCCTAAAAAAAAAAGCCGGAAAAATGGCCATTTTTGGACCAAAACCATGGGTTAACCCCTTGGGAAAAATGTTAATTTTTCGACTTTTTGAACGTCTTGTTGTTATAGCGTAGAAAGGCCGTTTTTTTGTTTTAGAATATTGAAGAGACATTCTCTTGGCCTCAATTGCCTAAAAAAATTAGTCGGAAAAACGGCCATTTTTGTACCAAACCATGGGTTAACCCCTTTGGAAAAATGTTAATTTTTCGACTTTTTGAACTTGTTGTTTTTATAGCCTAGAAAGGCGTTTTTTCGTTCTAGAATATCGTAAAACACATTGTTCTGGTCGAATTTGCAAAAAAAAAAAAAAGTCGGAAAAATGACCATTTTTGGGCCAAAACAATTGGTTAACCCCTTTGGAGAACTGTCAATTTTTCGACGTGTTTAAGTTGTTGTTTTTATAGCCTAGAAGCACGTCTTTTCGTTCTAGAATATCGTTAAAGAAATTTTCATGGCCGAATGTGCCTAAAAAAAAAAGTCGGAAAAATGGCCTTTTTTGGACCAAAACCATGGGTTAACCCCTTTGGAAAAGTGTCAATTTTTGGATTTTTTGAACTTGTTGTTTTTATAGCCTAGAAGAGAGTTTTTTCGTTCTAGAATATCGTTAGAGACATTTTCCTTGCCGAATTTGCCTAAAACAAAAAGTTGGAAAAATAGCCATTTTTGGGCCAAAACCATGGGTTAACCTTATAGGAAAAATGTCAATTATTCAACTTTTTGAACTTCTTGTTTTTATAGCCTAGAAAGACGTGTTTTCGTTCTAGAATATGCTAAAAGACTACTTCCTGGCTGAATTTGCCTAAAAAAAAAAGTGGGAAAAATGGCTATTTTTGGACCAAAACCATGGGTTAACCCCTTTGGAAAAGTGTCAATTTTTGGATTTTTTGAACTTGTTGTTTTTATAGCGTAGAAAGGCGTTTTTTCGTTGTAGAATATCGTGAAAGACATTTTTCTGGCCTAAATTGCCAAAAAAAAAAGGTCGAAAAAATGGCCATTTTTAGACCAAAACCATGGGTTAATCCCCTTTGGAAAAATGTTAATATTTTGACCCTTTGAACTTGTTCTTTTTACAGCGTAGAAAAGCGTTTTTTCGTTTTAGACTATCGTAAAAAATATTTTCCTAGCTCAATTTGTCTAAAAAAAAAACATCGCAAAAATGGCCATTTTTGGACCAAAACCTTGGGTTTACTCCTTTGGAAAAATGTCTATTTTTGGACTGTTTGAACTTGTTGTTTTTATAGCCTAGAAAGTTGTTTTTTCGTTCTAGAATATCGCAAAAGACATTTTTATGGTCTCAATTGCCTAAAAAAAATTGGAAAAAATGGCCATTCTTGGATCAAAACCATGGGTTAACCCCTTAGGAAAAATGTCAATTATTCGAATTTTTGAACTTCTTGTTTTTATAGCCTAGAAAGACGTGTTTTCGTTCTGGAATATCGTAAAAGACATTTTCCTGGCCTAAATTGCCTCAAAAAAAAAGTCGGAAAAAATGTTTTCCAACTTTCTTGTTGCAGTTAGCAGAGAGGCCTTGTGCCTCGCTTTCATGTCTTTAAAACACAATTTATAATGTCCTGGATGGCAGGAACGCCCCCTCCGCAGTAACTGGAGAAATAACACATTAATCAGTCACATTAAGCATAAAACCATTTATTTCTTTCAGAAATAAATTTCCTTTTTGGACCAAAACCATGGGTTAACCCCTTTGGAAAAATGTTAGGCGTTTTTTCGTAACAGAACATCGAAAAAGACATTTTCCTGGCCTAAATTGTCAAAAAAAAAGAGTCGGAAAAATGGCCATTTTCTGACCAAAACCATGGGTTAACCTCTTTGGAAAAATGTTAATTTTTCGACTTTTTGAACTTGTTGTTTTTATAGGCTAGAAAGGCGTTTTTTTGTTCTAGAATATCTTAAAAGACATTTTCGTGCCCTATATTGCCTAAAAAAAAAAGTTGGAAAAATGGCCATTTTTGGACCAAAACCATGGGGTATTCGCTTTGGAAAAATGTCAATTTTTCAACTTTTTTATTTTGTTGTTTTTATTGCCTAGAAACTTTGATTTTACTTTAAAACATCATCAAACATTATTTCCAGGGTGAATCTGACCATTTACAAACTGAAGAAATTTGAAATGTTAACCCAAAATCATAGGCTAACCCCTTTGGGAAAAATCCAAGATGGCGGTTGCTTAAATTTGATGTCTTGGTAATTTGTCAGAATGACTTTGATTTCACTCTAAAACGTCTACAAACAATATTTCTTTGTCCAATTTGACTATATGCACACTTTGAAGACATTTAAAATTTTGAACCACAATCATAGGCTAACCCCTTTGGAAAAAGTCGAACATAGCGGCTGCTCACATTTGATATCTTCGTTTTTGTTAGAATAACTTTGATTTCACTCTAAAACATCAACAACCATCATTTTTAGGTCACATTTGAGCATATACAAATTTTAAAGAAATTTGAAATTTTGACACAAAATCATAGGCTAACCCCTCTGGAAAAAATTCAAGATGGCGGCTGATCAAATTTGACATCTTCATATGTCGTCAGAATCAGTTTAATTTCACTCCAAAACATCAACAAACATGATTTCTGGGTCCAATTTGACTATATACAAACTTTGATGAAATTTGAAATTTTCACACAAAATCATGCACTAACTCTTTTGGAAAAAATCTAAGAAGGAAGATGATCAATTTTGACATCTTTATATATCGTTAGAATGACTTTAATTTCACTCTAAAACATCAACAAACTTGATTTCTAGGTCCAATTGTGATTTTATACAAACTTTGAAGAAATTTATATTAAAAATCCGAAAAATATTAGATTTCCTCTCGAATAGGAAAATTTCTCATCGAAACTATTGCTTAAGCTTTGTCCTTTCTATTGAGATTTTCAGAGGCAGGGTTTGTTACTTCTTTAGTTTTTAATCGATTTTGAAGTAATATATGGTCTTGAGCCTGTGAAAACTGATCTGAGTGCCTCCGAACCGACTCGGTCGCCGTACGCGTAAAATAAAACTCCAATGGAACTAAAAGTAATTTTTCTAGAAATAGTTTAGCTAGACCCATATTCTGACAAAGTTTGGGGATTTTCGAATTTTTCATTTTGCACACCCTTAGGCGATATTTACGGACGGCCGCTCTTAAAAATCTCCCTGCTATCAAATATGAAGCGGGTAGAATCTAATAAGGAGTTTAAGCAGCGACATTTTTGAGAGACGCACGTCACCTGAAGTGAGCCTTTTTCTATTTTAAATTGCCTTGACGCCACCAAATTTGTATTGCCAAGAGTTTTTACTCTTAGGGTGGATTTTCACTGTCGCGTAATTTTTACGTGCGTAAGGGCGTAAAATTTACGTTCGCAAATAAAATAGAGGCAAAGTATGAAGGGTCGCATGTAAAGGTAAAAGCTGAACCTCGCTCAACTTCCCGTTTAAACTCAACACTTTATGTCTTGCCTGTATTCTATTCACAAGAATAAAGTTTACATGCGTGTACACGCACGTACACATTACGCGGCAGTGGAAATCCACCCTTATAGAGACGATTTGCCCAAAAATTTGTTAAAAAATCTCTTTTTAAAAGTACAAAAAGTCCACTTCCGGTCGACGTGCGTCGCTCAAAAACCACAGGGAGCCCGCACAATCTGTTTGTGTAGCCGATTGTTATTTTATAGTAAACGGAGCTAGCCGTCGAAGAAAATTAAAATCCCACAGTATTCGAGCGGCAGGAATGCGTAGCAAGATTCATACGTGCCAGCCACAAACCGTCCCTCTGATTGCCTTTTTTTTTATTGGATGTCGTTAACCAAATGGTTAAATAATAACTGATGAAGAAGACTTGGTAAGCGTTTTGTTGTTTAACGACATCCAATCAAAAAGAGGCAATCAGCGGGACGGTTTCGGGCTGGCACGTATGAATCTTGCTACGCATTCCTGCCTCTCGAATACTGTTGGATTTTAATTTTCTTCGACGGCTAGCTCCGGGCTGCTTGGATGGATTTTCGATTGGAAGGTACGAGGAGAAACGTGAATCTTTCGACCTTTTTGCTACGGGGTTTGAGAGCGGAGTGATGCGATTTTTTTGGGGAAAAATCGCTCCGACACTGGAGCCCTTTCAAAACATGGATTCCACCCTTGTCCTTCTATTATAAGGAACAGTCAACGGCGAAATCAAACTCCTTCAAAATCGCTCAAAAAACCGCTTTTGAGGTAAAACGACGACTATATACCACAGGTAAGGTAATTCAACGTTTATTTATCATTGATTTATATACATAGTTAGCGATATATCGCTATAGGTGAAGCAAACGGTAAATCCAGTACATTTACTATAAAATAACAATCGGCTACACAAACAGATTGTGTGGGCTCCCTGTGCAAAAACTTCGTTGCTGAAACTCTCTAATGGCAAAAACAAAATCCTCTTAGCGGAAGCTCATCAACCACGTATTGTGTCTCAATCGGCAAAAACCTGCGTAGGGCAGTTGCTCTCAGTCTTCCTCTGAACCCCCCTCCCCCTCTTTTGTGCTTTGGCCTATCTGTATGGCGTGGACTGAAACAAGCAGTTAACAGTATAAAGGATATAAACTTCGATTCTAGAACTGCTGATTAACGCATAGAAGTTACGTTAAAGATACCAGTCTAATTACTTTCGGGAATTCTGATAAACATTTGTTAAAAGGACTTTATTTGTTCAACTCAATATGCTGACAACATATCTAAATTAAAAGGTCTTGTAAGTTTTAACTGTTCTTTATACCGTAATCACTACTGTATTTTAGGA